TCCAGCAAAGGTCCACCATAAATAATGTCCTTTGATGATGCAGCATCTCACAGAGGATGGCTGGAGTTAAGGATGGGGGAAGCCTGGAGATGGCAGGGAGAACTGATCACCCATTGATCTCTGGGATTAGCAACGACTTGAAAGAACTGAAGCTAAATTAAATTGGAAAGGTGGTGAACCACTTCACTCTTTAATTCTTGCCATAAATTATATGAAAAGAGCATGTATAGTAGGTGTTTCTACTACAGAGCACCTCTTTAGAAACACCTACTCTATTTAAGCTGCCTCCCTGACCCCATCTCACATATTAAAACTGTCATTGGCCTTGAGGTTGCTGTTGTTGTGTATGGTTAAGTCAGAACTGCTCTCCAATGGGTTTTTCAGAGCAGTTAAGCATTTAGGAAGAGATTGCTTATCTTTCTCCCTCAGAGCAAGTGGTGGATTCAAAACACGTGCCTTTGGATTGGCAGCACAACTCTTTACTTCTAAACCACCAGAGACCTAGAAGTGCTGGTACTTACGGTCTGAGGTCTCTAGAAAGGTGTATTCTGCAGTCTCCTCCTTTGTTGCTTGGGCAGGTTGGGATACATGCAGGGAAAGGATGGCAGAGCTGGGTTGAGATGAGCCTTGCTAGCTGGCCTAGGTGATAGGGGTGGAGGCCATCCCAGCACGTGCCTGTGTGCACACAGTGACCTGGACTTGTTAACTCCATGTGTACAACTTGGGGACATGCATGTGGATTTCATCAAGTTACTGGAGGAAGGCTACCAGGGCAGGAGGGTATCATGCCCGTGCATGACACTGAGTGGGGAGAGCATTTCAGAACAAAAGAACGGCAGCTTCTGCAGTCTACCACCAAGTCCTGCAGTCAGGAGACAACTCACGGAGGAGGGAGCATGAAGAGCCCCTCAGCCTGGGGAAGACATGAGTCAAGACTGGAGCCTGAGCTCATTGCTATGAGCTGTGAGATGTGGACCTGGCTCCACCTGGTGTATAGGAGATCCCGGGATATCTCTCAGGGGCTGAAATAACCGAAACCTTGAGACTGCTGTGCTGGATGAGGAAGGGAGGAGAAGCAGGGCGCAACTGACCACATAACTCAACCCACAGATGATAGAGACCCATTCAGGCTTACATCTGAGATGGGAATACTGAGCCCCTGGAAAAAAGGGTATGAAAAGAGATGTTCCTGGCAAAAGTGAGGCAAAGACAAGGAGAGGATGGGAGAGTCGAGGTGAGGGAGAAGAACCCCTCCCCCTCTAAACTACCTTCACTCAGCAAGACCTGCAGCCTCTGCCCACCCAGCCAGCCCACAAAGCTGACGGTGACTTCAGCCCTGGGAAAGGAAAAGCCGGAGAGGGAGCAGCAGCTGCATATTCTTCTGAAATTGCTTCTGAAAATGACCAGACACTTCACTGGGAAAGTGACGACAATTTGGGCCCTGGGAGCAGGAGATGAGAGGGGAGAGCGGGGGCGAGGAAGCTAGCTACCCTCCTACTCCAACTCCTGTTCTTCCTGATAGGATCGCCTGATTCTGAGAAGTCAAGGAAGGGGGGCTGCAGGGGTGGGAGAAGGTTGAACATAGCCCTGCAAGAAATGCTTGAGCCCCTCGGCCATCTATGTTCAGAGCTGGGTGTGACAGAGACTTTGGAACTTGTGCACAGACAACCAGATTAATCTGCAGCTGAGGAGAGAAGTTAATCAGGGCTCCCACCAGCATGATTACCTGAGCCGTGAGCTGCCTGCTGATGGAGGTACAGAGAGACCCCAGCCTCACAGCACAATGAACTCAGTCAAGGAGAGGAGGCATGAGAGGGAAGAGATGGGGAGAGGAGGAGAGAGATCATAGACAGAAACAAAGGCAGCCATTTGTACCTCTCACAGAGAACATATCTAAATACTACAAATCCGTGAGCTGCCTGCTTCCCAAAGGGAGGGTGAGAGCCCAGGATAAGCCATAGTGTATGAGAAAATTGGAGTGAAGGGTGGTATAAAACAGCTAACACATTACACAAAATACTATTAGTCAGAGCCCAACAAGCAGGGACAATGAGTATGATACACGGCAGCTGGATACAGAGAAAAAGATAATGATGATGACAGGAAAATTCACAAAGACAAGAGAGAAGGCAAGATGGAATCATAGAGATGGGAGCATCCAGGTGGGGGCACCTCTCCATGTCCATATGCCACCGGCTGCAGACCCCAGCTGCAGGACAGTGATTCAAATAAATGATGGCAAAGGGGAAGCTGCAGAACAGAATTCCAAATTCTCATGGACTCCAGTCTTTCTGGTACCATGGAGGCTGGTTAAATCCCTGAAACTACTGCACTGAATATATTTAAACCTTAACCCAAAAATATCATCTGAAGTCTTCTTAAAAAAAGAACATCCACAGAAAAGCAGTCAAGAAATTGTGATAAGATTAATTACATTAAGAAAATCTGATGTTAATGACCTCTCCAAAGTGCTAAGCAAGGATGTCAGTCAAAGTCTAAGGCGCATCCAACCCAAGCATGGTCTTCTTAGTTATTTACCATGCATCTGAAAATTGGACAGTGGACAGTGGATAAGGATGACAGAAGACCTCTGAGTTGTGGTGTTGGTTCAGTTCATCCCATGAACTAAAAAAAAACAAAACAAAACAAGTCTATCTTGGAGGAAGTGCCTCCTTAGAGGCAAAGGTAGGGAAATTTCACCTTATATACTTTGGGTATATTGTTAAGAGGGGTCAGTCCTTGGAAAATTATTTCATGCTGAGAAAGGTGGAGGGTCAGAAAAAGAGAGGACAGTCAACAAAAGGGATTGGCCCAGTGACTGTAATAATGGGTTTGAGCATATCAGATACTGAGGGGATGTCACAGAATAGGGCAAGGTTGAGATCTGTTGTTCATAGGGTTGCTGTGAGTCATAGTTAACTAAATGGCCCTTAACAACAACAATAGTTAAAAAAAAGTCTATCTTGAATATATTCAGAGTCTTTTCTGACATCCATGTTGGTCTTTTCTTCTTCTTCTTCTTCTTTCTTAGAGGTAGACTCATCAACAACCTACATTATGCAGATGACACAACCTTGCTTGCTGAAACTGAAGAAGACCTGGAGCTTTTGCTGCAGAAGGTCAATGATTATAGTCTTCAATATGGATTGAAGCTCAAAATCAAGAAGACAAAGATTCTCACCACTGGGCCAATGATAGATGGTGTTCACCACTAGCACCATGATGGAGAAGAGATTGAGGTTATTAGCAATTACAGCTTGTTTGGGTCCACAATTAACAGTCAGTAGTCAGGAAATCAAAAGACGAATTGCACTGGGAAAATCTGCTGTCAGGGACCTCTCCAGAGTGCTGAAAAGCAACAATGTCAGTCTAAAGACTAAGGTGCACCTAGTCCAGGCCACGGTCTTCACAATTCTTGTTATGCTTCAGAGAGCTGGACAATGACTAAGGATGACAGATGAATTGATGCCTTCAAATTGTGGTGTTGGCGACTCAATGGCACATAACAACAACATCTTGAACATTATGCTTTTTAAAGAGCTACCTATGAGATCAAATTGATGATATCAACAACAAGATAGAAAACAGTGAGTTAATGTTAACAAGAAAGGAATAACTAACTCAGAAAGGGAGGGTGAGAATTATTACACAACTCAATCAATGTTACTAATTTGAACATGTTGTTGTTGTTGTTATGTGTCATTAAGTCTCCTGTGACTCATAGCGACCCTATGTACAATAGCTCTGAACCCCGCTCTGCCCTGAACCAATCTCACTGACTTCAACACACCTACTCCTATTGCCTTAGTTACTGTACCAATCCATCTCATCTGGGGTCTTCCTTTCCTACGATGTCCCTCTATCCTTCTAAGCATGATGACCTTCTCCAAGGTCACATGCCCAAAGTATGTAAGACAGAGCCTCAAAATCCTAGCCTCCACGGAGAAATTTGGTTTCACTTTCTCCAAGACAGACCTGTTTGTTTTTTTGGTGGTCCATGGTATGTTTAAGATTCTTCTTCAGCACCACAACTCAAAGGCAACGATTCTTCTTCTATCATCCTTGGCCATTATCCAGCTCTCTGATGCATAGTAAGTAATTGCTAAGACCATGGGTGGATCAGGTGCACATTAGTCTCTAGACTGACATTGTTGCCTCTCAGTACTATGGAACATGTAGAAATTGTTAAATTGGTGTATGTTTCACTGTGGATATTCTCAGTAACAATAAAATAAATAAAAAGACTAGGGAGGAAAAGAAACTAGGAAAGCTATTGGCAGCAGCCTGGCAACTTGAATGCTAGGGAGGTAAGTATGAGCATCCCAGTGACTAGCCTGGGGATGGGAGCAGTGGTGCTCCTGGGTGCAGGGGGCTTCACTAGTTTACCTCTGCTTCTGTGAGCCTTCTGGCCTTAAGCCTCTTTTCAGGCAAAATCTCCAAAAGTTCCTAGTTTCCAACAAGACAGGGATCCTCACTTCTTCTCTCCAGGGACACACATAATGAATCAGCCCAGTGGCCACCTGAGGCCTGAGCCCCATTCCTGACTCCCCCCTTTGCCCTGCCCCCAGCTTCTCCAAACCTCAACAGAGCTCAGCCGGTCAAGGAGTTCAGAAACAATTTCCCTTCTTTGCCTTTGGTATTATCTGCATTAACTGGCTCCAAGGAGCCTAGGGACAGGGAAAGGAGGGAGGCAGCTTAAATGCAATTGGGTGAGATCAGGGAACTGGGACCCTCTCCAACTGACCAAGCCATCAGAAGTCACATGTTTATTAGAAGGCAGAGGCTGAGGGTGGCGGGGACACTGGTTTTAGAGGAAAGGAATAGAAAGGTTTGGGAGGGAGAAGAAAGGGTCTCCTCTTCAAGTGTTCTTCAGTCTCCAAGCCCAGTCTCATGCTCAGAGGTGTTAGATATGAGACATTCCCAAAAAGGGTGGGTGGAAGGATCGTGGCTGCTGGTCCAGGAGGAAGATGCTGCAGTCACCGCATAAAGTTCCTGCCTCCCTAGACAGTCACCTCCAAGCTGTGACCCCCCTTCTTCTTGCAGCTTAGCTTGCCGTCCCCACCACCTCCAGGGTTTTGGATGACCTTGACGGCCATACTGCCATCCTTGAACTTCACTGAGAACCTGGAGAGGGAAACAGGCAAACAAAGCTAGCCCCTTTACCTCCTTTAATCTCAACCACCACAAATTTCATGATGGCTCCTCCTCCCTTCTCTGAGGCAAGTTCCTGCTCCAGGATCTCCAGCAGAGAAGTTGGAGGGGGCAGAGGTGCAAGAAACATTTCTCAGGCCTGCCCTGACATGGTATGCCCCACTTTCTGACTGCATCAATTCTCCCGGTCACAATGACCAACAGCTTGGTCATCTGCCCTAGACCCACCCTCACCCTCAGCCTGCAGCCTTACTTCTCAGTCACTGTCACTGGCAGCTGCCTCTGTGTGGCATCCAGCACAGCACGGTACATCTTGGTCAGCAGTTCAATCACATGCTCACTGATTAGCAGGAAATCTCCCTTGGAGCCCACTGATGAAATCTAGAAAGAGGGAAGAACACCAGGTAAGGGATCCACTTTCTTCAAAGGGAAGGTATCAGAGGATGAGGAGTCTTGTCCCTGTCACCCCTGGCCCCAGGAAACTACTAAGTTCTCAGTCCCCGGTCCTATGCTGGCTCAGCCCTAGTACCTCACTCAGGTGCAAGCTAAAGAGTCCATCCCTGAAGCTGGTGACTGACACCTCAGTCACACTGTCCAGCCCAATGACAGTTTTGGTCTGGGATTTCTTGGTGTCTGTGAGAATCACATGTCCCTTGGTCAAGAGGAGAATCCGAGAGGAGGTCTAGAAAAGAACAGGAAAGGATAAAGAAAGGCAGGGATTCACCCCACCTCACTTCATTCAGAGCTAGAGGTTAAAGTATATGAAAATCCAGAGCAGCCCCCAGCCTGGCTTCCAGGTGCCGCTGGGAGTGCTGGGGCCAAGGCTTCTGGAGGAGCTCAGGAGTCAGAGTTTCACCTTGCCATTGCCGCGATTGACCTTCTTCACAATTTCCGCCATCAGGACAGGCCCTTCCTCTCCGCCCTTCAGTTTCTGCAGTTTGGGGTTCCCTTGCAGCCCAATGTAGTCACCACGAAATTGTATGGGGACACTGAGGACACACAGGAGAGTGTACTGTGCATACAAGGTCTTCATTACTGATCCCCAAAGTCCTGGACTTTCCCTGCAGAGTCCCTCTCCTGTTCCTCCCACCCTCTTAATCCCCCAGTCCTTGGTGGTCCCCAACCACAAACATAATAACAATAATCATCTGTGAATTTATAAGAAAAGCAAATTTAAAAAAAAAACCTAAAAAAACATTTAGCTAAATGAATAAGTTCATCACGAACATTTCATTCTTTTACTTTCCAATAGTAACTAAAACACAGGTTTACAGGTTACAGGATTGTAAATCAAGGTCAATTGATAGAGAAACCTATGTGAAAAACACAACCAGTGTTACTGGATTGTACAAGTAGGAATTGGCAAGTGGTTGTATGCACTGCTGTGTGTATTTTCAATAAAACTCAAACAAAAACAAAAGAAAAGGGCAAATTCTTAGGTCCCACCAATACCCCATCCCACCCACCCTGAGCCCTGCAGAATCAGAAACTGAGGAGAAGACCCATCAATCTGGGTCCTAAGCAGCCCTGCAGGTGATTCTGAAGAACATAAAAGTTTGAGACCAGCTTGGTCTAGGAGGAAGTGGGAAGTCTCTACTGAAGAAATCTTCTCTTGTACTTAAAGGAATTCACTGTACAGGCTCTGAGAGGGCCTCACCTCTGGGGGTATGATGCCTTCTTGCCTTTAAACAGCTCACTGGCACAAAGCTTCTCCTTCAGGACCTCTACTTGCTTTGGAGACAGCTGATCCAGGAACTTCTTGCACTGGGGAGGGGGTGAGGAGGGCAGGAGCTAAGGTTGTGGGTTGAGAAGGGCAGGGCAGGACTAGGGGAGGGAGGGAGAAAGGAAGGCAAGGACACTGTCAGGGAAGGAGCAGGGGTTGATAGACACAGGCGAGGGACAGGGACCAGAGGATAGTAGAGGACACATGACAGAAGAGGTACAGAGAAAAGGACAGTTGCCAGTCATTTCAGGAGAGGGCAGAGGCCGGAGGAACACTGAAGAGAAGGGTAGGAACTGAGAGGAGACCAATTAGTGGAAGCAGTCATTATTAGAAGCACCACAAAGACTGCAGGCCCAGCACACAGCACAGGGCCTACTCTCAGAAAGGTGCTCAATGAGTATTTCCTAAATAAAAGGACAAATGAGAGGAGAGGTGTGCAGCCACCAGGAGACGCTGCCCTGGATCTCCCTCACCTTCCATTGATGGAAGAGCTGACGTAGCTCCTGATTAGCTGTGTTGAAATACTTGTAAGGGGCAGTTGGCCATGTTTTATCCAAGACCTTGTGGGATGGCAAAGTATTCTTCAGCCCCAGGAGGAATTTTTGTGCCTGGATGAAAATAAGGGTGGAATGATGAGAGAAGACACTCCCTGACGGGCAAACTCACACCCAGATTCTGCAGGTTAAAAGATCACCCATAACCTTTTAACTGGGAAGTAACACGTGAAGCTGAGTAGACAGAAATAAATAATCTTCCTTCTAGAACACTAATGGGAGACTGGAGATAGAGAAGGATTGGTTCCAACCAGAGACCAGCTACCTAGGGAAGTGAGATAAGAAAAAACAATATAAAAGTTGGCCTCAATATTTTGCTCCTGTAGCTTCCTTTATAGGGATCTCTGGTGGCCAAGTGGTAGAAAGGTGTGCTAAAGGCACATGGTTCGAGTCCACCCGTTGCTCCACAGGAGGCTGTGCAGTCTCCTCCCATGTAATCTATAGCCTCTGAAAACCTGCCGGAGGGTCACCTATGAGTTTGCTCTGACTTGACAAGAAACAGCAGCAGCTTCCCTACTCTATCAGCTCAAGATTGCCTATGGTTGTTACCTAGTATCCACGCCTCAGCTTATTAAGTAGACACAAAGAAGTAATCTCCTGCCTGAACAGGAGTGTGAGACTAGAGATAGAGCAGGATACTCAACGGCACACAACAACAAACAACACCCATGCCTGCCTGTTGGATAGGCACCAAATCTCCTCTCTGATTCAAGTTCAAATACCTCAAGTTCAAATAGCCTGGCATTCAAATTCCTCAGTTAGAACCCAGTCTCATGTTACAGGATCCCCTATATTCTAAGTTACAACCAAACACACAATGCCTCCAACCCAGCCCATGCATTCTCTTCATGCATCTCATTCCATACTCTTAGCTCAGTTCTGCCAATCATCACTTTATCTATCCTTTGAGATTCAGTTCAAAACCTTTCCTGATTCTCTTGAGTGTCTGTCTTCATACTACAGCTATATGTTCAGAGGTCTTCTCTCTCTTCTAAACAATGAGTCCTTGGAAGGCAGTATCCCAGGTCTTGAGTATTTTTTTCTTATTTCAACAACATGGATTGATTGTCTCCTCTGTGTCCAGCACTATTCTACACATGAATGAAGCTAAATCTTTATTCTCAATGAACTTATTCTTTACTGGAAAGTGAGGTAGGAGATAGGTCACAAGCAAATACATATATAATGTCCAATTATGATATTTGCTTTGATGGATAAGGCAGGGCCTAACGCAATAATGAGTGGTATCAGGTTCCAAAACCAGAAAGGAAGCTGGGGAGGCTGCAGTAAACTGAGAAAGAGATGTGACAATTTCAGGGCTGATCTGGGCAGATCACCAAGGCTCCGGTGGGTGATCGTAAAAACTGACTTTGATTCTGAGGGATACAGAACTTAGAGGACTTTGAGAAGCAGGGCAACATCGTTTCATGTTAAGTTTCCTTTTAACGTAATATAACTTATATTTTAAAAGTTTTTAAGTTTGCAGGAAAGTTAGAAAAGCAACACAATGAATATTTATGAATACCTCATCTAAACTCACCAACTGATAATTTTAATATCTTGTCCAATTTGCTTACTCTTTCAGGCATGTATGTGTAAACACATGAATATATGCATATAAACCCACACATACATACACATACCATCCTAAAATAGGCTACAGATATCATGGCATTTTCCCTCTAAAACTTCATTATGCATTTCCCAAGAACCAGAACATTCCCAAATACAATCATAATATCATCAGTACATATATTCATTACAAACTTCTAAACATGTCCTTAATGGCTTTGTTTTTTTTTCTAAAGCTCCAGGATCCAATCAAGTTTCACCCATTGTATCTGACTATTTGGTCTCCTCAAGTCTAGAACAAGGACTCTTATAAATTCCAGAGAATATACTAGCTATCCCTGTTACTTATAGAGTAAAATTATTGAAGGTATTTAAAAAAATTACAGGATCATAGAAACTTCCAAATGATTGGCATTTTTAGAAAAAGTTTTTACTAAGACATTAAGAAACAACCCATTACACCTATGGAAACAGTTGGGGGTGGGGGAAGAAACAACCCACTGCTTCAATCTCAACTCACAGCAACTTTCCATTGGGTGTCCAAGAGTGTAGACCTTTATGGGAGAAAATTGCTCACTTTTCTCTGGAGAAGTAGCTGAAGGGTTCAAACTGCCAAACTTTTGGTTAGCAGCTCAACATTTAACGCAATATGCTACCAGTATGCATATTTACTGAGGAATTGCTGCTGTTAGGTGTCACCTAGTTAAAATCGACTCCTAGCTGACGCTCCAGTGGAGTTTCAGAGGCAATTAACTGCATAGGACGAGACTGCCCATCCTTCTACCCCAGAATACCCAGGATGTGAATTCCATGCCCTTGGGTTGGCAGGGCAACTCTTTACCACTAATCCACCACAATTTTCTGAGCCATTAGATTAAGAAAATAAAAATAGAAAAGAAGGAGGTCCTGCCCGTATTAGTTGGTGGCAGTATTTCCCATTTCAGTTTTCATAGCAACGCCACATATGTGTGTCAGAGCAGACCTGTGCTCCATCGGGTATTCAAGGACTGAGTTTTCAGAAGAACACCCGACTTTTCTTTCGAGGCAGTGTTAACTAGACAGTGGTACTGTAGAATCCGATACATTATATTCTAGGTTTACCACTTGGCAACCTTGAGCCCTCTGGCAGGTTTTCTAACCTCTCTGAGCTTTGGGTTTTTTACCTACCTACAAAATAAGGGGAAAGGGTAAGGTCTATTTATGGGGGTGTTGAAAGCATTACAACATGAATTAATGTATAGAAAGTGGTCCTAGAACAACAGAAGTGCTCAGATATTGGTAGGTACTATCATTAGACATAGAAACACTGGGAATCCATGACCACAGGTCCCCTGCATACTTACTCAGGGCTATGATTTACTAAAATATTAGTCAAAATCTTAAACTCCAGCAACTTCTGGGTTGACATTCAGCAGCTGCCTGAAAATATGCAGCTGAAAGAAAAGGTAGAAGGTGTTCAGTGAGGAGGAAAAAAGCAAAATCAGATTACAGGTCTCTGGTATGCAGCAAAAGGGCATGTGCTCCATGGAAGCAGACATGCTGGAGACACACGAGAGATCAGGAAACGTAAAAAAAAAAAAAGACTTGGACTCACTTGTGGCTTAGAGGGTAAGGAGTTCTGCTATCAACCCAAATGGTAAGTAGGTGGTTCAAATCCACCTGCTGCTCCATTAAGAGAAAAACGGAGAATCTTCTCTTGTGCACTTTACAGCCTCTGAAACCCACTGGAGAGTCAACTCATTGAAGGATGAGCTATGAGTTGGTTTCAACTTGATGGCAAAGAGGAAAGAAAGGCTTAGAAGATAGGACCCCATGAGGATTGAGGAGGATTCAAGAAAGGCTCAGAGAAATGAGGAAGAAGCTCAGAGCTCAGGACACCACCAAGGGGCCCAGCTTCTCCAACAACAAAGAGGGGCTCCATGCAAATGAGTCTCACATTTGAACAGCACAGTTAGCCCAAGTCCTAGCTACTATTCAAATCCAACCCTTGACCCAAGTTCTCCTGCTCTTCCCTCTTCTCTCTGGCCTTTCCCGAGGTTACATGGCAAGTACTGCTCTCACTCTTTATCTGCTTTCCCTCTCTATAATCAGAAGCTCTGCTGCTATTTGCTGAATATCTTCAGAAATCACTTGGCTCGGTCTCCTCCCGCTGGAAACAGCTTATAGTTCAAATGTCTCTAGACCTTGCCCTGGCTTCCTCCTGCCAACTCTAACCTGAGTTTTTCAGAATGAAAATAGGCCTTTCCTGAGATTAACCTTCTGACCTTCCTGTTATAGCTTCAGAAAGGATAAAGTAAAGGTATAATTTCTTCACCCTTGTAGGTATTAGTCAGCCCCTGGACACATGGAGATCACAACAGAACAAAGAGACTGCGTAGTCCTGTATCATCTTCACAATCATTTGCAGATCAGACCATTGTGATTCATAGTTTTGACATTTCCTGATACCAGGCCTTTCTTCCTAGTCTTTCTTCATCTGGAAACTGTATTTAATACCTGTTCAGCATCACAGCAACACACAAATCTCCACTGATAGGTAGGAGAGGGCTATGCACGGAATGCATTGACCAGGAATTGAACCCAGATCCAGCAAGAAGGTGAGAAAAGTTCAACCACTGAACCATCACTGCTTCATTGCTCTGCTTCCCCCCAACCCTGTAATGTAGCTCTTAATGTAGGGCTAGTGAAACCTACACATGTTCTTGCTCTGCTTATCAATGCTGTTTAACCTCTTCAACCATAGCTAAACATTCAGCTTGAGTTTCTTCCTGAGCTGGGACTCCTTGCTCTGAGGTCGCCTGGGACGTCCATTCAAGTTAGAATAGTCTCTAATTCTGCTGATGGGCCCTGAGCACTGGGGCTGCTCCTGAAAACAGCTAAACCACCCCCTCTTCTCTAGGATCTAACTACACACAGATCAAGGAAGCACTTATGAGAAAGCTTTGAATCACCTCAAACTTCCCATCTTCCACTTTCAACCTTTTCCCTCTCTCCGCTTTGATTTTTCACTACATGGCTGGGTAAGACTACACAAATGTAGGTTGTTTGTGGCTCCATCAAGGGGACTAGATCACTAACAGTGTTAATTAGATAAATAGCACCTTCGGGATGGGAACATGCAAACAACATGTGTAGACTACTAACAAGGGGATTGGTCAGTTTTGCCATTCTATCGGGCTTAAATTGAGCAGGTTTGGAGACAGAAAACAAGAATCTTGTTGCCATCAAGAAGAAGCAGAGAATGCAGCATGTTCTGCATTGAGTTCCAGACCAGACAGCATAAGCAGCATCAACAAGAGCAGAAGTGGCAATAAACAAAGATTGACATGAGACAGTGGAACCAGAACTGCTGCTCCACAGAGAGAGGGTTGAGAACCTTCGTTTAGCTCATTGGCGGGAGGGTCTGGGTTAAGCACCGTATCTGGTACTATTAAAAGAGTAACACTGGCCCAGGGTCTCATGTGAGACCCAGTGAGGTTGAAGGTCAGAGGACTTGCAAGCATAACTGAGAAGCTGTTCCGTCTCAAGAGCTGTATCCTGTTTCTAGCCTGAACTGTAACCTCTTACACCTCTGACAGGGAGCTCTGGTGGCTCCCTGAATAAAACGTTGCACTGCCAATTCAATGGCCAGAAGTTTGAATTCACCAGTTATTCCATGGGGAAAAGATGGCCAATCTTCTCCCGTGTGATTTATGGCCTCTGAAAACCCACTAAAAAGTCAGCTGTGAGTTGGTTCCAACTCAAGGGCAATGAAAGAGAAAAAGAGAACTATTCTTTTAATAAACACCATAACCGTTAGTATTGCCTATGTATGCATTGCGAGTATGGCCAGAACAAATTGCTAGGTTCACTGATTGCAACATATAGCAATAGAGTAATAGAAGGAGCGCTGGTGGCATAGTCTGTAGAGAGGGCTGCTACTAAGCCAAAGGTGATGGCTTTCTGGTGGTTTGAATCCACCAGTGGCTCTACGGCAGAAAGATGACCAATCTCGTCTCGTGCACTTTAGAGTGTCTACCCCCCCACCTAAAAAAAAACCCCCACAAACCACAAAACCTGCCAGAGGGTCAGCTATGAGTCAGTTCCAGCTGGACAGCAATGAATTTGAGCTTTTTTGTGTAACAGCGTATCAACAATCATGAGAGGGACATTTGGTGTTAGAATTGATAGAAGAGGCTACAAGAGTGTGGAGACATGTCTGAGCTCGTAGGAAGTGGTTTTGTACTGTTGCTGTTGTGGATGAAGATCCTCCTACTTGTGGAACTAGTGGATGTCGTCAGATGCCATGGCCTTCACACTGGCTGCACTGATTTTACACACCCTCAGTCCCCATCACTTACCAAGCTCTTGTAGATGAAATTTGCCACTGTGAGGGCTGCCCCTGACCGGAAATATTTTCGATAATTCTTGCGGGCCTACAGGAAAGGAGTCAATAAGAACACAGACAGAATCTAGAGGAACAGGTCCTACTATTTTTCAATCAAGTCAAGAGTAGAGCAAGATAAAGAGCTGAGGCTGTAGCTGGCAGGAGCAAAGGCAGACACCCCAGCAGTGAAGAGAACACTGAAAACAGAAGGCAGGGAGCCTCACTCCCACCAGACACGTATACAAATGCCCTAGCTCACAGCCACATAGTCAGACAGACACACAGATGGGCCATCACACAGGGCTATGTTCTGGATGCAGCCAGGACTTGCTCCCAAGTAGTCAGAACAATGCAGAAGGGATTTTATGGGGGAAGAAACCAGGAGTGCAGAAGCACACCCCCTTTCTTCCTTACCTTCCACCCTCTCACAAATGCCTGGATCAACAGTGTTGATGCCCTTATCTTCCCATAAAGCTTCTTTTGCTGCAGAAAACATTGGGCCTGTTAGAAATCTCATCAGTGGATCTGCCCACCCAGCTCTGTCCCTTGAACCAGCTCTCCAACTCCCCACTCTCTCTATTAGAGTGAAGGGAGACAAGGCTTTGGGGCTAGCTGATACCATGTTGCCCCGAAACCAGGCAGAGATGAGGATCTGACTCTTGCGCATCTGCTGGTAGTGGGTGCGGCAGCGCCAGCCTCGGTACATCTTCTGGATAAGTGTGGCCAGTTGCTGGATTTTAAGGCGCCGCTGCTCTTCCAGGTAGAAAAGCTGAGAAGGGGAGGAAAGGCAGAGAGTCTGGGGAGCTGCCCTCTCCACCACCTCCTATAGTACCAGAGGCTTCCAATCTGCACTTCACTGAACCATTCTGGTTTTAGTTAACTTGTTCATCCATTCAGTCAACAAGCATCTACTGACATGTAACGCTGTGGCAGGCAATGTGGCAGTTGTTAGAAAAATCAGGTTCAGGGAGAGGCACTCAGGGACCAAGCAATAACCAAGTTCAAGCAGAAGTGGGAAGCCCAGGATTTCAGGTCTGAGGGATAAAGCCCTGCAATGAGATCATCTTCTCACCATCCATTCAGGCCTCTCACTCCTCCACCTTGCTACCCCAACAAACACAAATATATTCTCCAGCTCACAGTCTTGGGGCTCCGAATGAAGATCTTTGTCTTCCCATAGGCCAGTTCTCCCGAGGCCACATTCATCTCCTCCATGATCTTCTTGACTCCCTCCCTGCAGGAAGCAGATGAGGGGACATTTTAGACAGTTTTTACAGCAGAGGATCCTCCTCCTGGCCTTTTTCACTGTGCAGAGGGAGGGTTCAGGATCCAAAACAGACCACAGAACCTCCAAAAAGTAATGAGTCAATTCATTCTCCCGCATACCCATTCAGCAAACTTGAGGAGATGTGGATGGCATTATCCCTTCCTCGTCTCTTCCCCAGAGATGTTTCCTTCAGGGCCTCCCCTGCTCCTCCATCTCCCCACTGGGTCTTACTGCTCTCCCTGGGTCCAGCGAGGCCAGGTGCTCCGGCTCAGCATCCGGTATCTTTCCAGGAAGGTCCCGTACCGCTGGCGGTGAGCATAGCCTGCCCGTCGCACTCTTATGTTCTCCAACAACCCCAGGTACCGAGCTTGGGTAGCTACCAGCTCTGACGAGAACAGGCCACGCTGCTGCTGATCATTGGGTTTAATGCACCTGGGTTGGAGGGAGGGTGAGGCCTGGGCTTCAGTAGCTGACGCCTTGGCCAGTACAGCCTTTAGTTAACATATTTCAGATGAAGACAATATGCTGGTCTTCTAAGTTTCATTCACTACTGATATTACCTAAGGCTGATATTTCCCTTCTTCTAGGTATTTCAGCTTTTCATCTATCTCTGTTCTCCATGAGAAAGAAATCCTGATCCCTTTATTCCAGAGACGCCCTCCCCATGGACATGTTCTGTAGTGCACAGACTCTGCATGGAGGCACCACACCCTCCTGTGTGCCCAGCATGTTACCTGATGTAGTTAGGGTTCTTGGCATACAGGTTCTTCATCAGTGTGCTCACAGAGCCCTTGAACTGAGACCCAGCAGTTGGAGGACGTTTGAGGGATGCTTGCTTGGGATCACCCTCAGGGAACAAGGATCGAAGGAGGGGATGCTTGGCCTTCCACATGGCCTGGGACAGGTCCCGGAAGAGTAAGTCGTTATTTTTGTCAATGAAGCTGGTCACATTGTACGTCACCTGTAGGGGTTTGGAGGTTCCATAGCCCTGTCTCAGCACTTAGCTCTCCCATGTCCCCTGGTAAAATATTCTTAACTTTCATCTCCCCCAGCCCTTCCCTCACTGTCTTCAGTCGCAGGTCCTATCCTTTGCACCTCCCTCCCCAGGCTGCTACATCACCTTGCCCGCATAGTGACAGATGCGGAAGCAGCTGAGACCCATGGTGTGGTCATACTGGTGCTGGGCATTCTGGGTGACTTTGCTCTCATAGTGTTCATGCTTGGAGAAGAGCTGGTTCAGCTTCGCGAGGAAGGTGGAGTCACTGACCACCCCAGGCCGCAGGCACTCCTCATCCAGCATGGCCAAGATGCCACGCTGATTCTGAAGTCAGGGGGACAAGATCAGGCCAAGCCAGACGTGGTCTCCCAAATGCCCACCCTCTCACCACCGCCCCACAACCTTCTCATTCTTTGCCTTCCTTACAGGGTGGGGCAGGATGTTTAAGCTGTCTGGAAGGGATGTCTCAGAGGTAAAAGAAATATAACTCACATGTTCAATGAGGTTGCAGATGATGCTATTATCGAAGTAGTCCACCTTTGTCCACGGTATGCCCTGGTGCAGGAGACGCAACCAATTAGAGGGAGTGGATGCAAGACAAGTCCTCTTGGTCTCACTCCTATCAGTCACTCCTTTCAACCACATCACAAGGGATCATCAGAAAAGCCCATAGTTTGGAAGGGTCCTTTGGTGTGGTTTCTGTTTACATTCTCATTCCCCTATGACTAGTGTAGAACTTGTGGGATGGGTGGACAGACGCATGGGAGGACCCAGAGCAGCTGTGAGGGCAGAGAAGATAAGGCAGGGTGGAGAAAGAAGGGCGGCATGTTGGCTGAGGACTCTGTGACAGAGATCACCCCACTGCAGCAGTGGAGAAGGATCCATGTGTACGTGAATAAAACAAACTGTCATATTATTTTGAAAATGAACAAAAAAACCTGAGTCCAAGAGCAAGTGACGGGCCAGATCAGCACCACCCTACTAGACCTCTGCCCAAGCATCCAAGCTTTCTGCTCATCAAACAATAGAGTTAACCTGACACAGGTTCAAAACGGACCATAACTGATGCTCAGACTTGAGCATGCATCATCATCACCTTGGAGGGCTGGCTCTACACAGCTTGCTGGGCGTCAGCCCCAGAATGTCTGATTTAGCAAGTCTGAGTGAGGCCTGAGAATCTGCATTTTTAACACATTCTCAGGCAATGCTGTCTACTGGGTCAGGACCGTGCTTTGAAAAATACTGTTCTGCATAACATCTCTGAGATTTTATAGTAATAATTACATATAGATACATTCTCTAATTTAGGAACTTGCTGGGTATTAGCTCTGCAGGTAGACTAGCTCCTGACTGCACACCAGTCTCTCTTCCTTTTTTGAATTAAGTCAAGTTGCCCTCTCAATTCATCCAAACAATAATTTCCCAACTGACTAAATGAATTATGACATTCTTACAATCTTATGCAGCTGTTACAAAAAAATAAAAAATCTTTACATACTGATATGGAGAGAGCTCCTGGTAAGTGATGAAAGTAGAGCGCAGAACAAAGTGTATTTGCTGCCATTTGCATACATTTTGTAGCAAAATTAGATTTACAGATTTCCCGTACAAAACACCTCTGGAAGGAGGCATTTTGATTGCTGTGCTTGGGGGAAGGGAACTAAGAGGACAAGGACAGAGGTAAGAGGAAAGCAGCTCAGTATACCTTCTTAATAAGATCTCTTGAATTTAGAAGCATGAGAATGCATAATCTATTTGATCCTCTAAATATTTTTAATGAAAATATGCAAAACAACTGAAAACCCATTTGCACACATTGCGACCACATTCCAAGTTCTGTCCTAGAGGTTCGTGAGAGCGAGTGCACAAGGGAACACTCGTGGGAGGGTTTTGATGAGTAAGACTGCCATTCATTTTGGGATGAACTAGCTCAGTCAGAGAGCCTTTCTAACACCTATCCTCAGAAGACAGGGGTTTCATCAACTCTGAGAAGAAGTGTGGAAATTTTGAGCCATAGGGTACTTCTGGTGACGAAATCAGGGATTAGGGTGTTGCCAAGAGGGGATGGCCACAGCTGCCAGGTTCCCAAAGGAGGCAGAGGAGTCAGAGAACTTTGAGAAGGGCAAAGAAAGGGATGTGGTAGGGTGCCAGGCCCAGGAGGAATGTCCTTTCTAAATTGGGTTCGCAGTCTGCCATAGGCCAAGCCTAGCTGTCACTTTCTCCTTGTCATTACTCTCCAGACACACACACACCCATCCATCAGTCTGGCCTTTCTGGAGCAAGAAGCTGGATGGAGGAGGGGCAGGCCACGGAGAGCAGAGAATTAGGCTACTTGGCAGTGCTGAAACGTTCAGCTGTGCAAAGGGAACTTTCTGTCCTTTGTGTTGCCATCTGGAAACAGCTGAGAGAAAATTGTGATCAAGGAGAAAGATCTGGCACATATATCTTAGACGTCATTTAAGAAGGAAGCAATATGGAGAAGACTGTGTTTACCTACCTCTCTCTTGTATTCCTCCTGCTCCTCTTTCAGGGTTAATTCTATGAACACCTGCTGCAGCTTCTCATTGCAATAGTTGATCACAAATTGCTCAAAGCTATTATCCTGAGGGAGGGTACACAGGTTAGAGAGCAGCTCAGCCCGAGTCCCTCTACCCCTCTCTCACATCTCCTCCTTTTGAGCTTGTCCACCTCTGTTGCTGTATGCCATCGACTCTGACCAGTGGCAACCTTGTAAAAGAGATGCCCCAGGAGGCTCCCTGCGTTGTAATGTTTACTAGAGCAGATCACCAAGCTTCTTCTCCCATGGAGCCACTGGTGGGTTCAAACCACAGACCTTTCTGTTAGCAATTATGCACTTGATCATTGTGCCACCAGGGCTGCTTTGTCCACCTCAAACCTTTAGGAAGTAGAATGCTGAGGTGGGGCAAGACTCCCTTACCTGGAGTATCTCAAAGCCGTAGATATCCAGGACCCCCATTACCTTCTTCTTCTCGCCAGTGCCCACCTGAAAAGGAACAGAAGAGTAATCTGAAGACAGGCCCTTTTGAGATGCACAGAGCTGGCGTAAGCGGCAAACAGAACTAGGGCAAACTTGACCAAGCTCAGAGGGAACTGTTGTGATTCTCTTCTCCTTCCTCCTCCATATGCCGGTCAACAAGCAAGGAGAGAGGAAAAGGCCAATTAAAACATGTTTCAGAAGTGTGCTCTCTTGGTATGGGGTAGGGGTTCCCTTGGTGGCACAAATGGCTTATATTTAGTTGCTGGTCATAAGTTTAGTGGTTCAAGTTCACTCAGAGGTGCCATGGAAGATAGATTTGGCAAACTACTTTCAAAAAAATCTGTCACTAAAGAACCTGTGAAACACAGCTCTGCTCCTATACACATAGCATCTCCATAAGTCAGGCAGAATCAATTTAACCTGGACTGGTTTGATTTTTCCGTTTATTATGGGGAAGAAAGGCACTAAAATAATCTCAGAATATTAACCACCCTTACATTTGTAAGACATTTTACAATGTTATGTCTACATTTCATTAATCCTTACCATAACTCTATAATAAAAATCTTTGCCATGGTGTTGAAACCAATTCATAGCTGACTGTCCACTGGATTTTCAGAGACTGTAAATCTCATGAGAAGAGATTGCTCATCTTTCTCCCTCTGAGTAGCTAGCAGATTTGGGTTGGTAGCATAACTACTTGCCCACTAGCTCCTCGTAACTCTGTGAGGTATAATTATTCCCATGCTACAGATGAAGAAAATAAAATCTCCAAAGGGCTAAACATCTACCCAGACCTTGACTCAAACACTATCTACACTGCTGCCTACCAGTAACACATTCTAAATAGATGTTGTTATGTTCCGTCGAGTCTCTTGCAACTCAGAGCGACCCCATGTACAACAGCCCTAAACTCTGCTCTGTCCTGTGCCAATCACACCGTCTCCGACACACCCATCCTGATTACCCAAATCACTGAATCAATCCACCTCAGAGGGTGCCTTCCCCTTCTGCGCTGTCCCTCCACCCTACCAAGCATGATGTCCTTCTCCAAGGACCTGTCCCTCCTTACAACATGTCCAAAGTATGTCAGACGGAGCCTTAGAATCCTTGCCTCCAAGGAGTAGCCTGGTTTGACCTTTTCCAG